TTGACAATTTTTGACTCAAATTCCATCACAGCAACCCCTCTTATATCTGCAGTTTTGGCAAGGAACAGAAAAATGGAAGTTCATGTTTGGAGTGGGGAAAATGGTGGGGAAAAGAGTTCCAAGGTGGTTGAGTTTGTACCTGAGAATAGCACACTAAGAATCTACAAGCTTAACCTCTCAGGTACTTGTAGAGTTACTTGCTCTTTAGGAATGAACTTCATTGTCAAGTCGCTTGACTTGACTGGCGTCAAGCTAAAGTCGCGGTGCGCCAAGGAATTTAGGTGGGTTTTGGAACAAAACCAGACCCTCAAAGAGGTCAACTTGTCCAGAACATGCCTTAAAGACAAGGGTATTGTGTATGTTGCAGCTGGACTATTCAAGAACCGAAGTTTGCAAACCTTACATCTAACTGGAAATTGGTTCAGTGGAATAGGCGTGGAGCATCTACTATGCCCTTTGAGTAGATTTTCAGCACTGCAAATGCAAGCCAACACTACTTTAACATGTGTTACTTTTGGAGGAGGGAGAACAAGAATAGGAAGGGATGGTCTAGCTGCTGTTATACAGTTTCTTATAACCAATGAGACAGTGAGGCAGTTGGGGATTCATGATGATGAGAGTTTGAGATCAGATGACTTTGTTAGAATCTTCAAGAGTTTGGAGAAGAATGCTAGCTTGAAATGCTTATCTCTACAAGGCTGCAAACGTGTGGAGGGAGAGACATTGCTGCAGACAATTATGGAGACACTACAGATAAATCCTTGGATTGAAGATATTGATCTCTCCAGAACACCTTTACACAACTCGGGAAAGACTCAGGGAATTTATCAGAGGTTAGGCCAGCATGAGAAGACTGAACCAGAAATGGATTTGCTCAAGGACATGCCACTAACAGAGCCCAAGAGTTGCAGAGTTTTCTTTTGTGGCCAAGAATGTGCAGGTAAGTTTATTATGTTTTACTATTGATTCATGTTGATATAATGACAACGCTTAGAGAGAGTAGATTGTATGATTTTTTAGTCCAATGAAAATGCGGAGAGGAAAATCAAGAAGGACATTAGAGAAAATTGTTAACAAATATCTCATGGTGAATAATGTCCTTGAAAATTTGGTTTTTAACCGAGTTCAATGACATTGTATGATCCATGTAGCTGACCTGACCTAGTGAGATAAGGCTTTGTTATTGTTTTTCCATTGATTACTTTCATGACATGCCATCTCAAAACTATACAAGTAAAATAAGTTCATGAGATCAAATTGAGCTCCACTCGTTTCATGTCAACACTAGCTAACAAAAAATCAACTTGAACCATAGTTAATAGTTTAAATTCATATTTGTCAGGCAAAACCACACTCTGCCATTCAATATCACAAAATTTCTCGGCTTCGGCGCTTCCCTACTTGGATCACGTCAAAACAATAGTGAACCCAGTGGAGCAGGCTGTCAAAGCAGTAGGAATGAAGATAAAAACTTTCAAGGATGAGGATACAAGGATTTCAATATGGAATCTTGCTGGTCAGCACGAGTTTTTTTCCCTCCATGATCTTATGTTCCCAGGGCATGGTAGTGCATCATTTTTCATCATCATATCAAGTTTATTCAGGAAACCAAGTAACAAAGAACCAAAAACCTCATCTGAAATTGAAGAGGACCTACAATATTGGCTCAGGTTCATAGTTTCCAACTCTAAAAGAGCAATACAACAATGCATGCTACCAAGTGTTGCTGTTGTTCTCACACATTTTGATAAAATTAACCAACCATCAGAAAATTTGCAGCACAGAGATTCAATTCAGAGATTGAGAGACAAGTTCCAAGGCTTCGTTGATTTCTACCCGACTGTATTCACAGTTGATGCAAGATCAACAGCATCAGTTAGTAAGCTTAGTCATCATATCCGGAAGACAAGCAAGACAATTCTCCAAAGAGTGCCACGAGTTTATCAACTTTGCAACGATCTAATACAGATTTTATCAGACTGGAGAACTGAGAACTACAACAAGCCAGCAATGAAGTGGAAGGAGTTTGGTGAGCTATGCCAAGTTAAAGTTCCACCTTTGAGAATTCAATCAAGACATGTTAATAAAGAGAAGGTAGAAATGAGGAGAAGAGCTGTTGCTACCTGTCTACATCACATTGGTGAGGTGATTTACTTTGATGAGTTGGGGTTTCTAATTTTGGATTGTGAGTGGTTCTGTGGTGAAGCACTTGGTCAGCTCATAAAGTTGAATGTTAGGAAGCAACACTCCTCAGAAAACAATGGATTTATTAGCAGGAAGGAACTGGAAAAAATCTTAAGAGGAAGTTTGCAAAGTCCTATTCCTGGTATTGGTTCAAAGGTGTTTGAGAACTTAGATGCTAGTGACCTTGTGAGGATGATGCTAAAACTTGAACTTTGTTATGAGCAAGATCCATCAGATCCAAATTCTCTGCTATTGATTCCCTCCATCCTTGAAGAAGGAAGAGGAAAGCCTCAGAAGTGGCAGCTAAGCATGTCAGACTGCGTTTATGCAGGACGCCATCTTGAGTGTGATGATTCAAGCCACATGTTTCTAACTCCAGGATTCTTCCCTCGTTTACAAGTAAGAGTTTCTCTAACACAACACTTCTTAAGTTCCATTCTTTCCAATTTTTTCTTGCAACTTCTTTTTCCTGAAATTATCTCCTGCACATAATAATATCTCAAGGTTTATCTAGTGTTGGTTACTTTCTGATGGTGGATGACCTAACTCAAATGAGGTACACGCAAAAAGCATAAAATATAGTTTTGGAAAGAAACATCATTAGGATCCACCTGCTTTGCAAAACTGTCAGAACGCATCTTGCATAATATCACTAGTTATATGCTATCTTTTTACCATTTCTTCAAACTTCGTGTTTTTGATCTTCACTCCTAAGCCTTTAAAGCTACAATAATATATACTTTATTTGGATTTATTTCCTGAATCTAATTTTGGATTTTCTAATTGAATTTTCTCTTTTGGTGTTGCAGGTGCACCTCCACAACAGAATAAAGGCTCTCAAGGATCAACATGGGGCAACTTACAGTCTTGAGAAGTACCTCATTTCAATCAGCATTAATGGAATCTACATAAGAGTAGAACTTGGAGGACAGTTGGGATACTATATTGATGTCCTTGCATGCTCCACCAAAAACTTGACAGAAACTTTGAGAGTCATTCATCAACTTATAATCCCCACAATCCAAAGCGTTTGCCATGGGATCACCTTGACTGAAAATGTCATAAGACCAGAATGTGTGAGAAAACTGACACCCCCTAGGTACAGAAAAACTCAATTTGCTTCCCTGCAGCAACTGAAACAAGCACTACTTTCACTTCCAGCAGATAGCATGTATGATTATCAACACACATGGAGTCCAGTTCTAGACTCTGGTAGGCCAATTCTTCAAGATGGATTTGATTTTGCGCGAGACCTTTTATCCGATGATGATTTCCGAGAAGTGTTGCATCGAAGGTACAATGACCTGTACGATCTAGCACAAGAGCTGCAAGTCCCACCTGAAAATAACCCTGAAGGGCAAGGTCAATCTATAACCTTAAGTGATGAAGCTGAAAAGGTTGAACCAACCTTTGGTGGCATTGCAAAAGGGGTTGAAGCAGTTTTGCAAAGACTCAAGATCATTGAACAAGAAATTAGAGACTTGAAACAGGAAATCCAGGGGCTGAGATACTATGAACATAGACTTCTCCTTGAACTTCATCGCAAAGTGAACCACCTAGCAACCTTCAATGTCCAGGTTGAGGAGAGGAAAGTCCCCAACATGATCTATTTTGTGAAGACAGAAAACTACACAAGGAGACTAGTCACCACCGTGCTTTCTGGCATGAATGCTCTACGGCTTCACATGTTATGCGAATTCCGGGGACAAATGCATGTTGTTGAAGATCAAATGGGGTGTGAAATCATGCAAGTTGATAACGTGGCTGTGAAGTCATTGGCTCCGTACATGAAGAAGTTCATGACATTGGTAACTTTGGCTCTTAAAATAGGAGCTCATCTTGCAGCTGGGATGGGGCAATTGATACCAGACTTGAGCAAGGAGGTGGCTCATTTGGCAGGCTCCTCAGTCCTCTTTGGTGCAGCTGGGGCAACTGCAGCCGGTGTTGTAGGGGCGGCTGCTTTGAATCGTAGAAACAGGTCCATGGAAGGCTCAAGGGACATTCAACAAGACTTAAGAGCAGCACAGCAATGGGTGGTTGATTTCTTAAGGGAGAGAAGGTGCTCTTCGGGGAAGGATATTGCAGAGAAATTTGGACTGTGGAGAGTAAGATACAGGGACAATGGTCAAATTGCATGGATATGCAGGAGGCACATACATGCCAGATCTGCAGAGATAATTGAAGTGCCTGTATGAAATAGTTGAAATCCATATGTAGCACTAGGAACCTTAGCTTTCAAGTTTCTTCTCTCTTTACTGTTGTGTTTATATTTCACTATTAATATGGCATTAATGATGTTCTCCAGCACATTTAAAGGAGTCCAGACGATGGTCTAGTTTATTTTAATGTCTAACATGATGGAAGTTCATATACCACCATTACTGATATAGTTACATTAGAATTGTGTTTCAAAATAGTTAATTTGCATGCCTATTAGTATAAAAGATTTCAGAGTTTCACAAATAGTTGTTATAAAAATCAACAAATTTCCCATATATGATTATTATTTGTTATTAGATGACAGTATTGTAAATGCATGTATGAATAATAAACATGACCATTACAAAAGTAGTTGAACAAGGACAAAGAAATACTGGCTGACCAAATAAAAGATCCACGATCCTGTATGGTACGGGTATTTTCGTGCGAAATATTTAGAAAGCAAAGTCTTGTAGATTTTGCTTCAACTACACTTTGGCTTTCATCATGTGAATGTGGGGCCACATAATTACTGGTGCTTATTGATTATACACATGATTAATATCCTGAGATATGAATTTCACAATTATTGACGCATTCAAATCAAAAGAACGACAAAGGAAGAAAGTAACACAAAAGTTCATGTAGCAATTAAGAAAACAACAAGCTTGTGAGAGTACAAAGTTATATTTCCCTGTAACCTACAACCAACACGTGATGAAATACAGAAGGGGAAACCACACAGGATAGTACATTATTCCACTTCACTACTAATATCAGTTTTCTTCTAAAATCTACAGTGATTGCCCGTATTCCCTTGAACAAGGGAAGCAAAAGATCAGAAGAAAGCTCTGCTGCCATAAAACACACGGGAATTGTTGCTCTTTGATGGCTGTAGTTTCTGCTCAGTGGTTGAATTTCCTGAACTAGTTGGTTCACTTTCAAAGTCCATAGGGAGCTTCATTTTTGCTAATGACTCAGTGAATTGCTGCATGCTTTTCATGTACATGTCTACTATATCCTGCTGA